ATTTTGGGCCTGGGAGGTTGCCATGGTAACCGTACTGCTAGCGACGCTGGGCGGCAACCTTTATCTAGTTGATATCTCCATTCGTTAATTGAAAAGTGGTAAAAGACATAAAGGACGCTTTGCATGGCGGTACGGCACGGGCCTCTGGAGGAGCGGTGCCTGTTTCTTCTGTAAAATGAGCGTGCACGGACAAGGAGAGTGGTTTTCGGAGCCGCCGGGATGGCGGTCGCTTCGTGGGACGAACGTACCGTCCTAGTACTTTCGGACTTCGCTCCGATGGAACAAAATCCGATTACGCCGGCCACGACAGGACGATTGGCTCGGGACATGACTGCTGCTCGACTGCCCCATAGCGAGCGAGTATATGTTTAGCATCATACTTCTTCAAGACCCGATCATCCCTTCAAGATGAGATTTTCTCACCGACTGGTGAGAAGCGACATCGACGGGGTTCAACCAAGAAGGACGGCATGGTGGTCTCTAGGGAATTGTTGACGCCATCAAGAGATGGACGCCGGATATGAGGTGTTCTTGCCGACAGGCCAAATGGTCGTTCGGAAGTTTACCGGCATTCAAAAAGTCAATATTTTTATCTGGTGTAGCACACATAGCCGTGTTAAAGGGGCCACGAAATTATTTTTAAACTTCTTCTTCCTTACCTGTAATCCTCAACTCAAAAGAGAACTGTGAAATCACTCAGTCGTGGCATGCTAGGGCACCGGTGGGATGACCCCAAGCTTTCACCGTGCTTTTTAAGCACACCGTAGAACTTGGCATTCGGAAGTGATAAGTTTTGTCAGGACACTCATTGGCCAGGAACGCGAATTCAAATATCCATGGACGAATTGATTGCTGACGAGAGCATAGGGTGCCTACATGACTGTCTGTCTGAGGGTGCAGACATCCATTGTTGCCCTGAATGTGCTAGCGCGTGACGTTCTCGCGCACTCGGTACGTGACTTGGGCGGTAAAATGGCGTCTATGCATTAGCCAAGGCTGCGCGCTCGAGCTGAGTGACACCAGATTGCGCGCGCTTCAAAATGCATAAAAGAACGATTAGGCGGAGAAATGGCTGAGATGTCACCACTCAAGCGAAAGCGCGTGTGTGTATGAAGGAACGCTACGAGAGCATACATCCGAGCGACGCAGTTTTCGTGTTCAATGCGTGAGTTGGGGTCGGCTGACGTCATTTTGGCCTTTGTAGGCATTGTAAAGAGGATATTTAGAACCATACACACATGATGATAACGTCATAGCGCATTGACATTAAGGAGCACAAAACGGGCCCAGCTACAGAAAATAAATATTATACTCGTTAGAAATAAATACGTATGTAACTTATTAATTTTAAAGACGAACACACCTCTGAGCATCTAAGTTTAATAGTATGTGTTGATGCATTGTTATATAGCAGGACACTTCATATACGTTACTTGAGCAAACGCCAATTTCTGACTTGAAAAACAAACCAAAAAACACTGCGATCAAATGCAAGCTATTGCAACGAAAGCAAGTTATATAAAAATCTTCAGAACTGCCAATTCGTAAAATTGGCGATTAGTAAAAAAGGCTAAATATCGAAGAAGCTTCCTCGCTAAAAAAATGCTGTGATTATTCGGTGACCTAGGGCTGAAACAACTTTCCCTAGGCCCTACACGCGCCGTATACCTTTCGTTATGATTCTCACAAATTCAGACGTTCACAGGAAGCTTGAAAGATGCGAAAATTTTATCCTAAAATCCATGTGGAGCGCAAGTTCGTCTGCTTCTTTTTGCAGGGGTTGTGGTGACATCAGAACGCCGAGATCTGAGTGGCTCCAATTGAAGGATAGGGGGTAGACCTAAAAGCAAGCTTCCTTGAAACCTACCCACTATTCTTTATTCAGAACCAATCAGAGCTCGGCGTTCTGACGTCACCACAACCCCTACTAAAAGAAGCAGACGAACTTGCGCTGCGCATATCGTAAAATTGTTGATTAGCATACTTGGGGGTTGCGTGAATATTTATACGCGTGTAGGTGGTCAGCCATTTCAAAGTTGCGACGAGTCACTCGCCGTAGATGAGCAATTTAGCCAATGCACTATAACCGCTAGCCTGGGGTCTATAGGTCTTTAACGTGCACCACGCAGTAGTGATACACAACCGCAGGCCGGTACGATGCTCATCCAGATCGAAACGGGCAGGGGCGGGGATTGAACCCAGGTTCCCTGGTTGATTAGTACAAAACGTAAACATCGCAGGAGCTTCCTCGCTAAAAGTTTGTGATCATGAGGTTACCTGGGGCAAAAACAAATTCCCCAAGACCCAACATGCGACGCATAGATTTCGCATCGTTTCTCAGACACTCTAACGTTCAAATAAAGCTAAGAGAATGCGAAAATTTCATGCTAAATGTCTTATCGATCCTCAAACACATCCGGAAACCCGAGCACCACTAAGGCGATATTACTGATGCTGTCGCACAGGTGTTAATATCCAGAGCGATCTTGCACAGAAAGGGTATAAAGTATCATTCTTTCAGATCTTCACGTTATACCTACGTCAGAAAGCACGAAGAAGCCCTAAATCGTCGGCAAGCTGCGGCACATCACGACTCCGCGCACCGAACAAACTCGCATCCACCAGCTCTGGGCGCTGCCATCTTACCGATGACATCACGGCTCTCGAGAGGTCACGTGACGAGTCGTCACTCGGTTCCTACGGAAACCGAGCCAGCTCAGCTCGTCGCTATGGTATCGCGTGTGACCAATCGCGGTGAGAGGCGGCACGGAGAAAAGCGTGGCGCTACTCTGGCAGCTACGCTGCCATATCGAGTGGCTCTAGGCTTGCGCACACCAGCTCGGAGCACGTAGAGCGAAAGCTCGCGCTGCAGAACACAAGGATCCTGGGCTCAATCCCCACCGCTGCCCGTTTCGATCTGGATGAGCATCTTACCGGCGTGTGGTCGTGTATCCCTATACTGCGTGATGCGCGTTAAAGACCCCGGGTTAGCAGTTGTACTGCACTGGCTAAATTTCTCATCCACAGCTGGGAGACAAGTCGCCCGTTGACGCAGGCTAAGTTCTATAGGCTGTATAAAACATATATGTACACCCCAATTTGTTTTTAATGACTAGATCAAAGTTCGTAATGGAAAGAAGCGGCGGAACCGGTGGAACGTTGGATGCACATTGCTTCCGGTGGAAAGGGATCCTATTGCGGTTTTTATGGTAAACGTAAGTTTGAGCAAAAGCCGGGGCAAAAAGAGCGTCGTTCGAAAACGGTTCGTCTTCGTTGCCCGTGGAGGCGTTCACGCTGGTGGTGGCCGGAGTTCTATCCTCCACAAAGCCCCTCCAGAAAGGCGTTTCTTTACTACGAGTACTACAAACCATTGTTGTGGAAACGCTCAAGACACGTGCCTCGAGCGGGTGCTCCGCCGCCATTCGCTTCCAAGGGCCGCCTATTTCAGTACTGTGCCGCCATTTGCTTCCGCGTTTGACGCTATTTGCAAGACAAGCGCAAGCACATCGAGGGGCTTTAGATCCGCCCGTACCTGCTCGCGTGCAGGCCACTGAGAAGAGCCAATTTCAAGCGCCGCTTTTTAGTACAACTTAAAGCCCCTAAATAAGAACAAAACAAGTTTTTTTGTTTAAACAGCCTAGTTGGGACACGCGTGTCAAAATATAAATTTTACGCAAAAAAAAAAAAGTTGGAGCAATATTGACGGCGCGAGACGCGATTTAGTCGGCAGTCACCTCCTTTCCACTTATTTTTAGAGCGCAGCTCTTAGGGGCCCGTTTCCAGCCTGAGCGGCGTCGCCGTCGGCGTCGCCGTCGCCGTCGGCGTCGGCGTCGGCGTAACCGCGCCCCTCCCTCTCCTCCTCCTCCCCTCCTCCTCCTCTTCCCCTCCTTCTCCTCCTCCCCTCATTGTGTAGTATGGTCCGGGCGGGTCACGTGACCTCGGGGGGAGGGGGTCACAAGACCCGTTTCCAGCCTGTGGGGCGTCGGCGTCGGCGTCGCCCCTCCCCCTCCTCCTCCCCCCTCCTCCCCCGCCCAGGTCACGTGACCCCGGGGGGTGACTCCCCTCCCCCCGCCGGTCACGTGACGGCCCGCCCAAGGTCATGTGATCCTGTCCCCTCGAGGTCACGTGACACCCCGGACCTCTGCCCTCCTCCTCCTCCCCCTCCTCCTCCTCCCCTCATTGTCTGGTTCGAGGGGGTCACGTGACCTCGGGGGGAGGGGGTCACATGACTTCAGCGGCGAGGAGGAAAGCAGTACGAAGGTGGAGAAGGGGGGGAGGAGAGACGAGGAGGCGGAGGCGAGGGGAGGGGAGGAGCTTGAAGGACGATTAGGTGGTAAAGGAGAGGGAGGGGGAGCAGGAGGGGAGGAGGACTAGCAGGCATGATCACGAGGGAGGAGGAGGAATATACCCTCCACTCCTCCTCCTCAAGAGCTGCGCTCCAATTCGGCGTTACAGGAAGTTGTAAACGGCTTTTTTTTCTCCGCATTTCGGGCGCGTGGAGGAGAAGTGGAGCGGCTTCGCCCTCACGATCGAGATGGTCATTCCGGAATGACCAGTGATGTCATGGACTTCGCGCGCAGGAGTTCAAATCAATCTCTCGCCGTCAATATTGCTCTAATTTTTTTTTTCGCGTAAAATTTATTTTTTGACACGCGTGTCCCAACCAGGCTGTTAAAAAAAAAAAAAAAAAAAAACTTTTAAGAACGTTGCTTCAAGGTGCGTGAACGCGATGCCGATGCCCAATATTTTGCCGCGATCTGTTGCAGCTATCGCTGTGACTGTACTGTAGATTACCTGACAGCTCGATGTTTGCACACAGCTTACGAGCAAAGGGAGTCGGTTGCCGACCAGCGCAACCGGTTGTAAACAGTCACCGGATGCTTGAAGCCGTTTTTTATCAGCCTCTCCGGTCATAAACAGTCGAAAGGCCTTTAGACAGAACTCTGGAGCAACTTTCACAGTCTTATCGTGTGATGCTACGAAAATGACCTCTGGGGTTGTGATATTTTTTGGTTGGTGTATTTTTACTCAGAAGAACATACAGAAAGTTTTGGCACACTTTTTGTTGAGAAAGGCACATCACGCAGCACACACGTTACAATGATTTTTTTCTTAAATTCTTTTGAGGAAACTGATAATGAAAATACTTTTACTATCTTCTATATGTTCGCGATGAAGCGCCACATCATGTCGACATCTCAGTAGATGACTAAGTTTACCAAAACTGTAACGAGGACCCTTCGTCAGACGGTTGCTGAACTTACTGGTACAAAGATAAACGGACTGATAAAGACAAAATGTAGGACAGAAACGTACAAGACAGACGAAGTGCATTGTTACAGTAATGGATGCCTATCTCGACTATGCCGTTTTATTTAAAGTGATCTGTTCGTACGTCGTTCCTCACAGCAGGCGACTACTGCACGCGGAAGCTGTTCTACAAGCTACGAAACAAGCGACTACTGAGATGCCAGCATTGGCGCGGCCTGAATTGTTTCGCGCACTGTCAGAACTCTGGCGGTACGTGGAGGCATACCGGCCGGTTCTTTTTTTCACTTAAATCTTATTGGGTCAGACGCAGGACTTGACGCCCCCACGTGGCGCGGCTTCCTACAGCGCTTCTAGTGAAGCTCCCATAAAAGCAAGAGCCATCAGAGGGCGACGACATCACGGAGGACCCTAGGCGCTGGCTAGGCAGCGGCGCTCTTCTTTCTTCGACAGAGCTTGTCGTATCCTTCAGAGCTGCATGCGGACACAGACGCATCGAAGGCAAGTTTGATGGGACACTCGAACTCGTGCACGGTGAACTTCTGGAGCCACTTGTCGTAGAAGCACTCGTAAAACCTGCCACAGTCCGCGGGGTGCCTGAAGAGACCCACCCTGGTGCAAGCCACTTCCGGTATCGTGGACACCTGGCTGGATGCCTTCTCCTTGAGGTCTTGGACCTTGTCCGACGGCAGGGTGTCGGACTCTTTGATGCTGTTGACGAGCGTCTTTCCTTTGAGGAACACAGACGACTTCTGAGATGCCTGGGCGTACCCCTTGTCGACGTAGTTGTTGGGCGGCGGTGGCCGATCGAGGCGAGTACGGTATTTGTTAGCGAACCTGGGTCCTGCGTGTGGCAGAACCGGCGGTCCCTTGGCGGTGGCAACGAGCTTGACAGCCGCATCGTCTTCTTCCTCGATGATATCGTCCAGAGGCGTGATCACTGGGCTGTCAAATTTACCAGGACGCATTCTCGCGAGGACCTTGTTGAGGTCTTGGAGAATGGACTGCGAGGGTTCTCGAAGCGGGCCAGGATGTGCGATGGCCTTGATGTTCGTGACGAGGGGGTCGGGCTCGTCGACAACAAGCTGGTTGATGGCGTACTTCGACGGCGTCTTCTGGATCGCGCTCGAGGAGGAGGGCCGACTCGTGCCGGTGTCTTGCTGGGTAACCACAGGAGCCGCGACGAGTGGTTTGGATGCAACGGGGGCCGAGGTAGGCGGTGCAGGGGGGGCTGGTTGTGCGGGTTGTGGGGTCGAGGTCAGGAGCGTTTGTTGTTGAATAGGAGGTACCACAGGCGAAGCGGGCTGGGGCGTCTTGATGGGTGCGGTAGGAGGGGCAAACGTAGGGGCCGCAGGCGGAGGAGACGGCACTGTTTGAGCGGGTGGCCGGTATTGTCCTGCATAGAGGGGTCCTTGAGGCGCCGGCGGCTCTTGTTTTTGCTGGGGATATGGTTGTAGGGAGGGTTTTGGAGTGAACGAAGTGATTGCCGGCTGCTGCTGTGGCTGTACTTGTTGCGATTTCGGCGGTAGCAGTGCTTGTTGTTGCGGGTACGTAGGTGCCTCCGGTGCCCGTGGCTGCGTTGGTTGAGCGAAAGACTGAGTGTCATCGTAGGACGCAGGTTGACGCCTGAACTGTGATAGGTCGTCGAGCGACAAGAGTTCCTCTCCCGCATCTCCGTCGGGAGGTGGTGGTGGGTCGCCGTAACGTTGCGCCGGTGGCTGCGGTCTTCCCGCTGACGCTACGTCTGGAGCCCTTGGCGCGGCTGGTGGTCGCGAGAGCGGAGGTACGCTGAACACCGGAGGTTTCGGCTGGGGTGGCGGTGGATACTGGCCTCCGCCTTGGCCTCCGCCCTGGCCTCCGCCGTAAATGAAGCGAGGCCCAAACATGGTCATGCCGTCCCGATACATGCTGCTCATGTAAGAAAGGGGGTTGTAGAGGTAGACGTTCGTGTAGCCGTCGGGCCGCTGCGTCATGACGGCTGACGCCAGATTGTACCCGTTCTTGGCGGAGAACGGATTAAAGCGGTCGAACAGGAAGGGATTGCCACCGATATCGGACTTGGGAACCCCGTACCCTTGCGACTGGAGGCCTTGTGTGTACGCACCCAAAGACGGGAAGTTGTCGTAGCGAGCGTGGGTTGACGGACGAACCAAGGGAGGCGAGAAAGCCTTGCGTTCGTACGTGCCCGCGAGACCGCCGTAGAAGGAGGTGGCTGGGTTGAAGCGCATGAAATTGTTTGGCCCCGAACCAGGTCGCAGTCGTGCCTGCTGGTCCTGGAACGTGAACCTGGGTGTCTCATACTGCGGCCTGTACGCGGGTGGCAGCTGAGGCGGTCCCGGAACGTACGCGGCACTGGCACCCTGGCCGATTTGGTGCCTGTACAGGTTCGACAGGGTGTGATCGAAATTGCGGTGCAGGTCGGGCGGGCCGTACTGCACTCCTGGTACTTGGAACTTGGGCGGCGGGGAAGGTGGAGTTGGTAGAGAGAGCGACGGGTACTTGTAGTTCCCCTGGGACACCTGCGCCTGCAGCTGGTACCTCGCCGGAGCGTATTGTGGAGACGCAGCTTGGTAGAGTCCGGATTGGCCGTAGTAGGGATTGCCGGATTGCTGCAGGAAGTGGGCCTGAGTTGACGTTACTCTCGCGGTGTGCGGCTGTCTGCTTCTGAAGCTGTAATAAGAGGGCGTCGGGGGATGAGTCTGATGGAATACCTGTGGTTGGTAGAGCTGCGTCGGGTCGTAGAAGCCGCGTCCCGCATAACCAGAGTACCCCGCGACGTCTGATTGCGGGAACAAGCCCTGCGTCCTGTCCTGTCCGGACTGGTCCTGGATTACGCGGGCCTCGATCTGGATTTCAGGCACCTGCTGCTGAAGTTGGAGGGAATGCAGGTCTAGGTCTCCGTCTTGAAGGAAGTGCTGGATTTCCCTGGTTTGAACGTGCGACTGCGGGTGGAAGTTGGGCCGTTGGGCGAGCGGGTGGAAGCCGCGGCCCGGACCCCGGATCTGGAGTTCCGCCGGGAGCACGCCCGTCGGGAGCGTGACTCCGTGGAGGCCTACCGGCTGTGGCCTCTGCACGAGGGCGTTGTAGGCCACGGGGACTCCACCGTGGATGGCCCGAGCCCCGCCTGGTCTGTTGTAGAACTCCCCGGGGCTGAATAGGGACGGCCCGAAGAGCGCCTGCTGGACGACGCCGGCGTAGTCCTTGCAGCCGGGAGTGACCGCACGGTAGTTGCAGCTGAAATGTGGGAAAGGGAGATTAGCCTGCATGTCTGTAATGAGGTCACGTTGAAGTAAGCATGCTGCTCTCGAAAAGTTGGTTGAGGCTCATTACTTCAAATGCTGCCATTACTCAAGTCTCGAATGTCTAGCCAAGCGGCTTCAAGTATAAGAAATAGTGTAGAAACAAATGCAACGACGTAGAAACTGTTTTGAAGATCAATATGAAAGACACAAAAAAAGTGGCACGGTATGCTTCCGTGCCATCTTGCCGTGTTTTTTTCTTTCTCCTTGTTCTGGCTTCTCGGCACCACGAAAGCAGGTCACAAAGCGTCTTGACAAATTTGGGTACTGCCTATTTATGTGAAGCAGTACAGACAAACGGAAATATTAGGCAACGTTCGCATATGTATATAGCTGCGCCTGCGTAAATACACCGCGGGGCATTGTTAATGGTAGTAGGAGGTGTTTTCTCCCGTTCTTTGAGACATGTTATTAAGAAACATACAATTTTGCAATGTATATCTTTGCTTTCATTAAACATTTAATTTAATCACACTAGCAATATTGAAGTTCCGAAAGAAAAGCTTCATAAAACCATCTTGGTAAAATTCTTGAGTTAATACATTGAATATCTGTTTGAGTTAAGTGCACAGAGATTTATTTACACGATTTTCAGCGCAAAATTACGACACGAACATAGTAGCTAGTCAATACACGCAGGAGAAGATATTGAGTGTTTACCACGAGTGGCGAAAGAGGCCTCGCGCGCGTCTTTGGCGCTGTTAGAGAGCATAGACGCCAGATTCCCGCATGCACTTTACGGTCACTTACCCCGTGCAGCTAAGCCTACCTGAAAGTGGTCGGGTCGAATCCGAGGCCGTGGGGGCAGCGCATGTCGAACGCCGTGAGCGTCCCGTTCTCGTACGTGTCGTCGCAGAAGTAGAACCAGCGGCAGTTCTCCGGGTCTTGGTAGTAGCCGACTCCCGGGCAGTGGAAGGCCGACCGGGGCGTCGTGGACAGCTCCCCGGAGCCGTGGCACTGTTCCGACCAGGAGGGCCAGTTGCAGACCTCGATGCGGTCGTCGAAGACCAGTCCCGCCGGACAGTCGAAGAGGAAGACGGTGTAGTCATGCACCCGGCTGTCGTACTTGACGCAGCGGAAGAACTTGGTGCAGTCCTTGGGGTCGCGGAAGTGCCCGGGGCGCGTGCAGGTGAAGCCCGCGACGCTGTACGAGTTGAGGCCGTCGACGTGCAGGTTGTTGCCCTGCTGGTCTACGATGCGAACGATCTTGGTTTCTGTGTTGGTCTCGACGTACTCGAGCGGACCGCCGTGGGCCACCCCGGTGATGCCCTCGTGCAGGGAGTGCAGCAGTGGGAAGTGGCCCTGGCCACACACGGCCCGGGAGTCGTCGTCGTTCACCGCGTACGCGTACACGCCGCCGAGGTCCTGGAGTTGCACGTATTTGCCCTGGGGGGACGCAGGAAGAACAAAACTTGAAGCGAGGCAAAGAATGCATCGTGCGCTATATTCTCCGAGTAGAAATTGAGAGAGAGAGAAAAAGGAAAGAAGGAGGGGACATCAGAACATCATTCTCTGGTTGGAGTGATTAGTGGGTGACTAGGTGATTATCACTCGAAGAGTGGTTGGAGAAAAAGGCATCTAGCTTTACGCCTGCCCACCAGTCATTTCAACCGGAGCTCGCTGTTCTGACGTCAGCGGTCGCGTGCGCCTCCTCCTCTCCCTCGGTTTCGGCCCGCATAGACCGACACGCTGCTTACGAGCAAGTCAGCGTTTGTTTACCCACTGCGCGTGTGCAGAAAGCAAATTCGCGGGAAAGCGTCTGCCTGCGCACGTGCGGTGCCGACAACAGCGCCACCGCAGTTGAGTGACTTCAGGGACGCGTGTTTTGGGTGTCTGCCGAATTCTATCGTTGGCGAGCCATGTGCCTTTTCGCACTGAAGGTGTTGTTATTGCCCGACCGAAAGGCTCGGTATGCTATGCTTCATTTCGTTTCAAGTTCGACCGAGTCGACGCTGCGATCCTGCGGAGCCAACCGATTATAATTAGCGCTAAAAGTGCCCCGTCACAGCGCACGTCGTCTTTGTGCTATCACCCGCTAAAACCAATCGAGCACAGAAAATGCGCCGCCATTTTTCCGCTTTCTTTATATTCTTCTGTGCGCGATTGGTTTAGCTGCTTGATTGGCCCAGGCTATGCAGAGCGCTAGTTCGTCTGCTTCTTTTTGCAGGGGTTGTGGTGACGTCAGAACGCCGACCTCTGATTGGTTCTGAATGAAGGATAATGAGTAGACCTCGAGGCAGCTCGCTTTGAGGTCTACCCCCTATCCTTCAACCAGAGCCAATCAGAGCTCGGCGTTCTGGCGTCACCACAACCCCTGCAAAAAGAAGCAGACAAACTTGCGCTCCGGATAGGGTCGGGCCTAATGTGAAACAGAATGTAACGCCGAATGTGTGAGAGCATGGGAGGAAAGAAAGCACGCCGTGCACTCCGATGACGTCTGCTCTAAACGAAACGGGCCTTACAATGGGATTCCGATACTGCGAAAGTTAGCGTCGGATTTAAGGGCTGTTTATACTCCGACGTTGAGCGCAGTGAACGCAGCGTAGCGGAGAACGTGCACCTTTCATTGGCCGGCAACCAGGAACTCGATTTCTGCGACCAATCAGCATCTGTGTGCGCTGCGCTACGCCACACCCGTCGACGTTAAGTTGGAGTATAAACGTACCTTAACTTTCGTGGAAGTGCACAACGAAGCGACTCCCTCGAGCACTGAAACCGCGAATGGCGTTTGTGGAAAGGAAGTTGAGCTGTGACGCCACCTGCGCAGCGTTGCCCGTAATGCTGATATACTCTGTTGTCAGGAAGTACGGCCCTAATGGCTAACGTTGAAAATCACGGCCTTGTTGGCAGGACTACTACAGCGAGTCAACGGTGTTTAACGACAGTTATTCTGACCGCATAATGTAATATATAAAAATTTCAAGCTACGATATACGAAGCAATGAGCCTGTTTGAGAATATAGTAAAAACCGAGGATTTTCCCATTGTACCATATTAAGCCGAATACAGCGAAGTGCCGAGAGGCAGAAAACGGGCCCTTGCGGCAACGGAGCCCCCAAGAGAGGCATTTACTCGTGAGGAGCTGAAAGTCGGCGATATTGCAAGAAACGTAATCTTGTCCTCAGCACCCTAGCAAAAATAACGGTTTGAAATCAGTCCGGAAAGTGAAATCCGGACCAAGATCAAACCGGAGTCACACCGGAGAGGTGGCTTCCGGTTCGCACAAACCGTGAATTTTCATAACCGGTTCAAAGTCAAATTGGAGGAATTCCGGAGAGGCGAATTCCGGTTCGCTCATACCGTGATTTTCCTAATCCGGTTCAAAGTCAAAGTGGAGGAATTCCGGACACGCAAATTCCGGTTCGCTCTAACCGTGAATTTCCTAATCCGGTTCAAAGTCAAATTGGAGGAATTCCGGACAGACAGATTCCAGTTCGCACAAACCGTGATTTTCCCAATCCGCTTCAAAGTCAAATTGAAGGAATTCCAGACAGTCAAATTCCGGTTCACACAAACCGTGATTTTCCTAAATGGTTCGATCAAACCGTGATTTTTGGAGTCCGGTTCAAAGTACAATTGAAGGAATTCCAGACACACAATATGCGGTTCGAACAAACCATTTTTTGTCAAATTCGGTTAAAAAACAAATTCGACAAAGTCTAGACTGAAAATATCTGCTTTGCACAAACCATGCTTTGCCATATCTTGTTCCAAAGAAAATCGGATCAGCCGCCTGATGCCGAAGACTTTCAAGCGTATGGTTGAAATATCAAGTTGCAAACAATCCATCCCGATACCGTACGTACGGGCTGCTGCGTCGATCAAAGCTCAGACCGCAGAAGACAGCCAGCTGATATGCGGTGCCAAAAAGGAGACATCACGGCGATTTTTGTGCAAGTCATCACCATCTGATTCCATCTAGAATTTTTGTTTATGCCTGCATGCTGAACATTCTATTATGGTGCACATGCAGGAAATTTTAGGGGCTTTTATCAATTTAGGTACGCAAAGCAGGGATTTAAACCGTAACCGAAACCGAAAACCATTTAGGAACGAAAATTTTCAGTAACCGTAACAGAAACAAAATTGTTATTTGAAATTAAAAAAAAAAACACGTAACCGTAAGCGTAACCGTAAAGTATTTACCGGTAACTGGTTTTAATCAATATTAGCCGAAAAATAAAAAATAAAAAAAAATTCTCATGTATGACTTGGAGGACGGATCTTGAAATATTGTGGCAATTTGACAGAGTTACTTTCAGCGAGTGGTGCATCTGGTAATACGATTTCCGTTCAATCTAACTTTAGGATTAAGGATACTTGGTTGGAATCAGTAGTCGTGCTTATAATAAAAAAAGTCTATTTCTAAATCTATGACGCTCCTACATCGCTACATGTGTCAGTACGTGTCGCCTTCAGTGTAATAACTAATAAGTTAGAATTCTCAGATGTCCATCCAATTCGGTTCTATCAAAACCACCAATGTTCCTGACATGCAGTAGCCAATATGAAGAAACGAGGTAAATTGACTGTCATGCAGAGCTGGCGGAAAAGAAAACATAGTATTCATTTAGTCTGAAACGTCGCTGGTAACGATTTTGAGACAACACAGAAAGAAAAAAACAATGTGACCGGTTTGACATTGGCGTTAAGTGTATGTTTCATATTAACCGTGATCCAGAGTTTATCTGAACAGAAAACAATCACAAAAATTAAAAATTATTTTGTGAAGTGAAAGCTAATATATCCTTTGATGGCCAGTATTCACATGGAAGTTCAACGACTGGCCGGCATCGGCGCTTTGGTGTTCAAGCTGGCGAGCCCCGTCATGGAAGATCCGTTTACTGACCGGCATCGTTTTTTGTTTTTTTTTCGTCCTTTTCACTATGAAGTCAAGTCATTGAGATTCTGACAAACTGTGGCAATTCATGGATAGCGAGTGGAAATGTTTGCGTTGATCAATCCTTCCTAAATGACTGCCGACGCTAGGGTATTTTATCCCAGCATGGCAAGGCTGACGTGTTTTATCGCGAAAACGCAAGAAAAAACAATACAGTGAAGAAAATTAGCTGCAGAGGATTTGAGAATGTGACCGCCTACGCCACGAAAAATAAATTTTACAACGCTGAACATCACTTTTTTCAGGAAGCTAGTTTAATTTGATGTACTATACTTAGGGTCCGGTGGTATACGCAGGCGTTTGGCCCTGATAAAAACTAAAAACGGTATAACGGAGCCTAAAAATGAAGAAAAAAAAAACGTGGCATGATTGAGCACGCGCTTTGAGTTACAAAAACAATAATAAACATTACTTTCCAGAGACTAGAAAAGTAAGAGATGTGTTTATTGCTTATGACGCTACGAAATTGAGTGCGAAAATATGCTACTTCAGACAGGAATCAACTGCTTTCTGTGGTAGTTACGATTATCTAACAGAAATATTTCGAACGTTCCCATAGCCAAACGATATCTGTTGCTTTGATAAATTATGTTGTACGACGTACCGCTCCAGAGGATCGCGAATATAAAAACTTATTTCTTTAACGCAAAAAAGCGAGAAACACCCCTGCATTGTGGATGTTCACACTGCCGGGTTTGTGAATGTGACCCCTTGACGCTACGAAAAATAATTGTTACAACGTTTAACGATGCCGTTTCTGAAAGATAGTTTAATTATCCGTGATGCACTTGAACCTCAGGAATAAAAACGTGTCTAGGCCTAATAAAAAAAGTAAAACTGCGGAGCGCAACCTGTATAAATAAAACCTGGCGGCACGCGGGGGATAGCACTGATCTACGAGAAGAAATTAAATACTACTTTCCGGAAGTCAGAATATTAAGAGATGTGCTTAATTAATACGTAGCGCGCTATGAGCTCAGCTAAATTACTGCCTTAAAATGACGGTATTTTTGATTCGACAGCGGGTGAAGATGGCCGCTTTCAGACAAACTTCAGCTGCATTACTGTGGCAGTTTTACCACTTACACATTTTCCGATTTTGCTCGCAATATGCTCATTATTATTACATTTCTTTCTTCTTTGAAAGGGCTTGTACTGTTTGCCTACGGTTATGAATTATCCCGGCAAAACAAGAGGGCCACGGTTTGTGCTTTGCAACAATTCAAACTTAGGCTCGCACTTTTTGTTTTCACCTTGTCCGTGATTATTACCCTAAAGAACGGTGCCGACGACTGCAAAAATATAGAAAATATTTAAAATAAAAAAATTTAATACAGAAAGGTGAGAAAACAATATTAAAAAATATAAAAACTAATACAAGAAGGTGAGAAACAATATTTTAAATAATAAAAACTAATGCAAAAAGGCGAGAAAAAAAATTAGAAATAACAAAAACTAACACAAGTAGGCGAGAAAAAAATATTTAAAGTAATAAAAACTAATACAAAAGGTAAAAAAAAGATTTAAAATAATGAAAACCAATACAAAAAAAAACACAAGAAAAGAGTGTTTTCCGGGATTCGAACCAACGTCCGCACGCTCTACAAGAAAGCGCGTTAGCAAACTAAGCTAAAGTTGCCCGGTTATCCAAGGGTGTTTTCTGGAAAGATACATGTCTACTGAAGTCGTTTCGAACCGTTGTACTTACTTTCGTATTTAATATTTTCTACATATGCAGGACTTATTCATAATAATATGATGGCAATAATGACGTCTGCAATAATTTATTATTGCTGTGTCTTATATGAGTTTTATAATGCGGTTTGCTTATCCTTTTATTTGAAACGTTTTGAAGATACGAAAACAATCTCATCGAATCAACAGCCTATGTTTCGCACGGTTTGCCGGCCGTATCGGCCGTGTGCGTTTGAATGCCTGCGTTCGCGACCGGATAACGGTTAAATTTCCCGATTAGTCGTGATGCGTGGAGTTTGCCTTAGTTTCAAACATGTCCGAAAAAGACGGAAGCGACTGTGAGAAGTGGAACTTCGTCAAATCGGCTCAACAGCGAAGATCATGGTACGAGAACCGAAGTAAGTTTGTTTCTTTGTTCGTTAGGGCTAGCTTATTTCCTGCGTTCAGAAAGCTTGTTATTGTCTGTAGATCGCTTGCTTTTACCAGTATTATTAATTGTGCGCGAATGGTGTTATGCAAGGCTGTTTTTCTTCTTTTTTCCCCGATGCAGAGACTACTCGCTCAAGGTTCATCAGTAGCGGCGGAACTCTTTGGGAGACGGGGGGTGCGGGGGTGGGGGTCAAAGCGGATGGGGGAGGATTGCCTCCCTAAAGGCCGGGTCCATATCACAAGAGCGAATGACATTTTAGCGAACGGCGACATTTGAGCGAATGATCGTTTTAGCGAATAACGGGGGCGCGCGTTAACCCATCCGTCGCGCTGCGCTTTACGCCGCTTCGCGGCGACAGTCTGCGGCAACTCATTACAAAAATATAAACTCACTTGGCCCACCCGAAAACGCCGCTTCGCGGCGTCCGGCTATTCGCTAAAGTGTCGTTCGATGAAACGTGGGCGTTCGCTAAAACGTCATTCGATCAAGTGAGTGCCTCCCGCCGACGACGCCATTGCATGCGGAGAGCTGGACCCGACAAAAAGCTTTCTGTGTAAGTCCTTTGTGTTTTTACTCTTTTTTTTATTTGTGTGTTCGTTGTTTCACTTTTTCTTACGATTTAGTCCGGGTTTCTGTTACTTATGTGTTCATTATTTATTAATTTTTTTTCTTTATTAAGTTTTAGTTAAAAATATGCTGCCCTCGTCATTTTCCAGTCCGGGAAACGGTGGTGACCTCGTCGTGTTCAAGGAGCAGTAATGAACTTTTCATCTTGTATTGCTTCCGGCGAACAATGGTGTCTGTGCGTGTGTGTGTGTGCGACGTGTTGGTCACAAGGGATGATTTCGGGACTGAACGGAAAAACAAGGCCAGCGAGGAGCGACTGGGGGACTTTGAACATCGCACGGTGCAAGGAAGGACTTCAACGACGAGGCTAGCAAGCAAGCCCATGTCAAAACTGCTGTGCTCGACCGGAGAGTTGAATCAGAACTTTACCCTGTGAGTAAGGATCAACGACTTTGGAACTTTCGTATAGTTTACAGCTTAATTGTCGCCTTCCTTTTGTTTTATTTTAATAGGAGTCTGTGTGCTATTACATTTTTAGTTTATTTTAATGGTTGTTCGTGTGATATTACTATTATTTTTTCTTGAACGGCGGAAGTGCTTGTTTGGAATTTTGGCGCTTTTATGTATAAAACTTTTTTTGCAAACCATATCTGTCTGCTCCCTCGACAACCAATCCCGCCAAAGGGCTGTGACTTTCAGACGTCGAATGATATGTTACAGTGTTTGCTAACTAGCGATCGCCTGCATTTGATTTTTGTAGCATACATATTTGTCGGAATTAGTGTTACAAATTTCGAACCAGGCCACTAAAGATTGGTCAGTGGCCTATTCTGCCGATGTATCTACGTAAACACACGTTTGGCAGTGTGGGATAGCAGTAAAATGTATATTTTGTGGATATTCATAGAAATGCATTATATGATCCCATGTCTAGACCTGAAAGTATGGTACCTGCCCCATGGCAATAATTTTAATGTAATGCTAGAAGGAGCATCACATGAAAAATGCTTTATATGAGGTGGGTACCCTATTTGCCAGGCCCAAACACGGGATAATATAAAGCAGTCTATATATGGTATATAAGGAATTGGGCAGATGTGGTCATATCTGCCCAATTCCTTATATATCCATATCTGTATTTTCATTATAAGTCTAGATATGACATTTTTGTAAGGGATGGCTTGTAGCATCAGCTGCAGTACATCGGAAGGTGAAACAGTAGGTGTGTCACTCTATTAAACTACTTCTATTATATTCAGGTGTTGCCTGATACGGTTTAATATACGGTTAGACCCACTCCGGTGAAGCTCTACGGATTGGCCAGATACGGTTCAGCTTCCGCTTCGACCAATTATGGTTGGGTTTCCGGACTGGGTATTTCCGGTTCATTTACGGTTTCTAGAAATCCGGTTTGCTTAGGGGCCCATATGACGGATTAAAATTCCGGATTCATTCCGGTTTATTTTTAAACCGTTTTTTTTGGTAGGGCAGCCACACATATGTCAAAGCGTGTCCAGACAATGCATCCCCTAGAATAAACTCAGCAGCTGAACCCGACGCCCAACGTCGTGCGACGGCTTAGCTAGCCGAGTCAAACGCTGACGCGGCACTTGTGACCAATCGACTCTCGATCTCACGGTGACGACGTCCAAGTGCCATGGGCTTTGATCATTCTAGGTAGTGTTGGTCGAGAAGCAGCTTACCTTAAGCCTCAAGCTGAGTTCATCTTCGAATCCCATGAAGGCATCGCCGCTGACTGCGTACGGGGCTGTCAAGTCCGCGTCACGCTCGACGCTGAAGTTGAGGTTGTGCTGCAGCGCACAGAACTGAAAGGCGGAAAGAAAGGCCTTTTTATGACGACTTTGTGTCGTTAAATGAGATAGAGCGCATTCAAAACAGAGCGCAATCGATTAAAAAGAAAAACCAGGATACCGTTACAGTTTCGAAACTCGATGGAGCTGAACGCTGCCGTGTGAGGTTCTCCATCTTCTCGAGGGAATGTATTTAAAACTATTTTTCATTAAGAAAATTGTAAACGTTGAAATATATTTGAATACCAATATAGCGTTTATTAGATGCAGTCGTTATGAAAAACGACTTTCCTTCAAATGTCGAAATACTAACTGCAAAACGTTTCCGTATCAGATTTCCAGAGGGAGGGATAGAGATAAAAGAGGCAATAACAAACAAATTAAGTTGGGTGGTAACACATGTGACTGGTAAAACAAGGGTAAAGACATACAGAGTATGTCTTTACCCTTGTTTTACCAGTCCAGTTTTACCAGAGTATGTCTTTACCCTTGTTTTAAATGTGTAAGTGGTAAAACTGCCACAGTAATGCAGCTGAAGTTTGTCTGAAAGCGGCCATCTTCACCCGCTGTCGAATCAAAAATACCGTCATTTTAAGGCAGTAATTTAGCTGAGCTCATAGCGCGCTACGTATTAATTAAGGGTAAAGACATACAGATATACACAAATGAAACAGTCGTTAAAAAGTATATTTGGCCCGTCGATTCCTACCCTTTCTCCCAAAACTATCACAGGAACCGAAGAAAAACATACAGCATAAGCAGGAAGCAAGAGAAAGTGAAAATGCGGAAAAAACAGGATTAGTGCGACAAGTTTCGCCCGATGAAAACTCTTAACACTGCAAGCGGCCGCGGCACGAAGTTAGCAACTCTGTGCCATTATTTAGGATTTGTTTCACTATCAGTAGAATCATATCGTTATATATTTTAGAAGCTGCTGAGATACTGTAAACCTTGGCAATCAATACTGCCGCGGCACACAACTGCAAGAAAGACAAAACAGTGCAAAAAATATGCAGGGACAAGTAGAAGGTTTACACAGACACAGCGCTCACTATCGACTGTTGTTTTATTTTACTCTGAAATACAGGTATATAAAAGAAGTCTGCGTATTTCTTCTACTATTCCCTGCGTCTTTTTTTGTTGTCTCTCGTAACACGGAGTGAATCACCCATCTACAAATGTTGCTTTCGACGCTGCCGACGTGTTCACCTGCGGGTGGTTGAACTTGTAAGAGTCGTCGGCGCCGTGGTAGAGCGGGGCGCCCATGGCCGCCACGTGGGGGTCGGCCAGCCGGTACGTCATGCCGAACATGGGCACTCCGACGATGACCTTCTGGCGAGGCACGCCCATGGCCAGCACCAGGTTCACCAGCGAGTCCTGAAGACGACAGAATAAACGCAGGTCTCGCCTAGTGCCACTTCATAAGCCACACGCCAACACGCTCTCTACAAGAAGCAAGTCTGCGTTTGCCCACAGTGTGGGCACTGAACGTACGCAGAAACCATATTCACGTCAGATGAAGGGTTCATGCTGCTATGGCGCTATTGTCTCTCGCGCCATTAACGGCCTCCCTGTGGTCGGTTAAGAACCAATGGTATATTTCCACGTGGAACCGGCGGCTCACGCGAGCGGCTCGGCGACGCTCAACAGATCAGATGACACTAAAAAGATTTCTCGATTTTTTGCTGTGCCCTGTAAATGAACTGCGGCGTCTGCAGACGTACTACACTCTCGGCTCCGCGCAGACCACACTGCACACAGGGATTTTCAGACAGAATATGTTTATGGGCTGAATGTTATGTAACCAGCGCTACCCTCTCCTGTGAACGGCTGTTCAAACGAGACACGCTTTCTGCTGTGCACAGCATTTGCTCGACCGGAAGCGGAGGTATTCTTTCCGCTTCCGGTCTGCTTTGGGACTCCTTTTGCCGGGATAAAGACCCACCACCTTCGTCTTGGACCAAGTCTTGGAGCGTGCTCATGACGTCGGTCCGGGCAGGCACTCACACGCATAATTAATCAAAGCTTAAACATTACCTGAGAGATTCACGAAGCGCTGTCGAGAAAATCAAACTCGGGAGCGTGTGATCCGCCACCCGATGCCTTTGCTCGGCGCCACTACGAAGGCAAACGGGAGAGCCTGCAGGTCTCACTCAAGTATCGCTGCAGACTACTAGAGTGATACCTGCACTATCACTGCAGGTGTCACTGTGGTAGTCGACTGTCGGCGCGCGCAGCTGGCTTTCGAATGACGAAGTATAGTTCCCCACATAACCTTACGAAGTAACGGGTCCGGAGTAAACTTGCGTTTGTGTCGTTCTTGCTGGTAAACCCGGGAAGCACGTAAGCGTGTCGTGCTTGCAACGTGTCTGAAACCAACTCAAGTATTTTATAAGTTATAACTAGGGCTCCGTGTTTTAGGATAAATCCAAAAACACCCGCTGGTAAAATTTTGGTCAATTCGGATTTATCCGATGAACTCCGAATGTTTATGTGCCAATGTCACCCCCCCCCCCCCCCTTCCCCTGGGCAAAAAAAAAAAAGTAAACAAAAATAACTAAAAGACTTTCTTTTTTTTTTTTACAATTTTATTAGTACGGAGTCAATGGTCCTGGGAAAATGGCACCATAATTATCTTTCAAATCTAAGACTGTTGTCAATAGGGGTCTTGCCGCTTGTCTTGTCGAGGTTGATTCAGGGCAACAGGTCATTGTACCATTCGTGTCACGACAAAAGCCACTCTTTTGGTTTCCAGTTTGAGCCATGCGATTTGTGATTTAGAGAAAGGAGAAGGTACGTTTTTGTAACAGTGAAAGCTATGGACCAGGCACGTATCTAGGGAAGAGGCCCATGGGGCCCGCCCCCCCCCCCCCCCTTCCCCGAAATCTTCCATTATGCTGGGACCTCCTCTCCCCCCTCCCCCTCATACAGCATTTTGTCATCGGCGGCGCCCCCCCCCCCCCCCCCCCCCTTCCCCGAAATAAAATCCTGGCTTCGTAGCGGCTGCCGCTGGGAGTTTATTGATTTTAAGGTATCGACGTTTATCGAAGCAACACTTGAGTGCGACTTTTGTCGTGGGACAAATTAATATTGCCAATGGCAATGGCACGAACGTCAAATTCAACTGAAGAAATTTTAATTTATACAAACGTGTTTTATTTTTTATCTGGCATACGTTTACATCCGGTTATTATTTACATATTTATTTTCAATAGGAAACACTGAGAAATTAAACTCCGAATTTCAGAGAATTGGGAATCAAACAAATATAAACTCCGAATCTTCAGCAAAAAACAAACTCCGAAAGACACACTCCGAATTTCACGAAAAATAAACTCCGAAAACGCGGAGCCCTATTTATAACCAATGATAACCGATCAAAATGCAAGCATATGCACGATCTATTGTCTGCTCCCCTAGTTTATCAAATGATAGACCATTTTTTCCCCGCTACACGTAGCGGAGAAATTTTCAAGCTAAATTTAGCGTCGTGGCTGAGAAATGAATAAAGGTTGTCCTGCTAAATATAGTGATAAATTTTTCTTGCAACGTGGCACTATGACACCTCGTGACACTGACGTTCAGTGGAATAGCCAGGGGAGGGGCTTATGGGGCTTCAGGTCTGTCCCCCCCTCCCCCCCCCCCCTTTGAAATAAACCGTTTTATCGTGGGTAGCGCCATTTTGAGAGCGAGAGAGAAAAGGGGAAAGGGCTACCTGCGCTTTCCCCCTTTCTGGTTGTGCAGAAAGAGTGAAAGTCCCGGATGGGAGGCTTGGCCGGTGTTGGGTGTCTGCTGTGCCCCAACTTCGTTCGCGCTTTCTTTTTTTGTTTTGAACTCGCAAACTTAATTAGAGCCACGGGCTTCGATGGCAACAGTCCCCCGGTCATCGGGACACCATTGCTCGGTCAGAGGGTGCACGAATAACGACAGAAAGCGTCGAATACTGATCGAGGACCTTGTAGCTTGCATGGACTCCGGCAAGGCAAGTGCGGCTGCAATGTTTTGAAGCTCCACCGCTTTCCGCATGACCGGAAATGATGAACCATTCATAAATTTTCGCTTGCAATAGGCCTATTTCAACGTAGCCGATTTTAGTAATAATCAAGCGATACACGAAACTGGAACCCCAATTAACTTTTGTAAACACCCGGAGCTGCTACAGATCGTTTTGCTGCGCTGCTTTTATCTTGCGTGTCCATGTTCTTATATTTCCTCGTGGGTGAACGACGAAGACGTTCTAGATGTGCTTATATCGAATTGCAGAAAGCTTCAAAGCAGCCACGAATTATTTTACTATTTGATGCAGTATTTTGAGTACTAACCTCCAATTTCTATCACTGACACGTTCGCTGCCGCTGTTCCCCCCGTCGCCGCACTGGCGGATGCCATGACTCGAACAAAGAAACGTGCACACTGGGCTCGAAGACGCAGATCGCAACACACGAGACGTACCCTGCAGTGACTATCCAGCGCTTCAAAGCGCCCAATCAACGGAAACAACCCAAACAATCCACGCGGCACTCCAATGAGCGCTTTTGCCGGCTCTCTGGCAGGAGATTGCAATTCAGAAAAACCGATAGAACTACCTTTTCAACAATTTCTAGCCTCACCCGGCGGCGGAAATGAGCCTTCAACTAAGTGTTGTAAATGATGAAATCGAGTCGGTCACCACTGCAAAATATCAATATTAAGATAAATTCAGTTACAAAATTTTACAAGTTGAAACAGCAATTATCACGAGAAAACTGGCACGCACTTTGCGAGCGTACCCCATGTTCATCGGCGGTACAGCGTTCGGTGCGCGCTCCATTCACAAGATGTTCCGAGCACAGTCGAGAGGATGGCGTTTAGGAAACGTCTTATAGGTTTACGGACGCAATCCACTGCCCCCAAGACCGGGGTCAATGCAGCCGCTCTCGCCTTGTCGGATTCATTGCAAGCTGCATAGGTCCTCGGACAGTATTCGACGCTTTCTTTTCGTTATTCATGCACCCTATGACCAAGCAATGGTGTCCCGATGACCGGGGACTGTTGCCATCGAAGCCCGTTGTTCTAATTAAGTTTGCGAGATCAAAACAAAAAAGAAAGCGCGAACGAAGTTGGGGCACAGCAGACACCCAACACCGGCCAAGCCTCTCATCCGGGACTTTCACTGTTTCTACGCAACCAGAAAGGGAGAAAGCGCCGGTAGCCCTTTTCCCTTTTCACTCTTCCCCTAACCGCCTTCCTCCTTTCCCCCGGCTTCACCCCCCCCCCCCTTTTTTTTTTCTTTTTGTTGGGCACTGTTGACGTCACGTACTACGATGACACTACACGAAATATACACGTGAGTCCGCTGCAATATCTCGGCGATAACGGCTGTCGCCATAATATATTTAAAAAAAAAAACATATTTGAAGTTAGGAAAACACCTTTATTATACCGGCTTTCTGTGAAATAAGCAATGATTCACGGGGCAGCGTTCAGAGGGCTGGCAAGGTCCTGTGTAATGTCTCGCGCAGATAAGACGACTGACTTACGACGCTCGTGCCACCCGTGGTATACCGTCTCCATCATTTTGTCCTCGTTTACACGTAACTGGGTATTTGTTACCTTGGCAATTTTTCACGACTCCCAGGTTCAATAGGAAACTCTAGTACAGTCCGTGGTTCCCCTACGCAACGCCTTCCGCCGTACCTACGCCAACTCATTAAAAGTAAACCCCTCGTGGGGCAACTCGTCGAAGGGCACCGCTCGGCTTGGTAGACCCAGTGCTCTGGGAAAGCTATTGCATAGTTTTTCAGTTGTCTCTGCGTTTGATAACGTCAGCAGCTTATATGCTGCTTCTCCGGTAACACAATGTAGCTCTCAATAGCCATTTTTTCACTTTTGGAAATAAAGGAGCGGAATGGCAGAGTTCAGCCATTCCAAGAGTGAGAATAGATATGTGTTTTCATTACTGGCATTTAAAAGCAATGGGACTGTCGGAAATTCTAATTCCTTGGAATGAAATGGGGGTGCCCATTCCGCAACACTTGAACGCTCTTATGTCGCATTCGTACATTCTGTTGAACCGCACTCGGCTGCTTCAAGATTTGTTACAATTTCACGCTCATCTCATGACGAAAACGAGCGGATCCTCTTCGCGGGCGCCATTCGAACGCTAGTGTCAGTACAGCTATACTCCATTCTACTAAATGACTTTCGACGAGTTGCCCTATTTGCGAACCAGCCTACGAGGAGCCTGCCTATGCGGAGCGCAAGTCCGTCTGCTTCTTGCACAGGGGTTGCGATGCTGCCAGAACGCCGAGCCCTTATTTGCGGATTGAGAAATATAGTGGGTAGACCTTAAGGCTAGATTGCTTCGAGGTCTAGCCACTATACTTTCAATCAACTATAGTCAGACCTCGGCGTCGTTCTGACGTAACCGCAACTCCTGCGCAGGAATTGAGACGACTTGCTTTCCGCATTCCATCTTCGACGAGATGGTTTCTGACGAATTAGCTGGATGCCCCTTCGGCAAAACACTCACGGTGTTGTCCATTTCGCCGCGGTCCCCGTGGAGAGGCGCTGGGTGAACGGCATACTCGGGCTGTCCGTCGTGGAACATGAAGGCTGGCACGTTGATGTAATCGGCGTTCCTGAAAGGGACCGAGGATGTTTCACCGTGTTTTCTCGATCCCCAAGCAGTCTATCGCGTTATTCTCGGAGGCCCGGATGGCTCGTTCTCTATTGAGTTTGAACTAGATCGTAGCTCTTAGGCGATTCTAATTGTAGAGCTCTTCCGGCACGATCGTTGGATTGCGTGTCAGGGGCTCTTTTTAAGGGCATCGCCGGCAAAAGTAGACGAGGGGACGTACTTGACGAGAGTCCTGAAGTCGTAGGCGTGGTTCACGAGATGAGGTTCCTTGGCGACGGTGACCGAGACCACGGGATTCCGGAGCGGCGATTCCTGACGGAAGTGCTGCAAACAGATGCGAGACAAGAACACCTGGTGAATATATTCGGAGATTATATACTTCGAGGAACATTGTTTCGCGCCTTCACCTCTTCCCGTTGTAGGGCCGCGAGTGAGGCGAACAGACAGAATCATTCGTCCATTCCTCTCAATAGCGTTGAGAATCTCGAGTTATTTATTTATAGTATTAAGACTGCGAGTTGGGCCAGTTGTTATCGATTTATAACGGGGATATACGCCCAAGACGAGGACGAGAAGATGAGTTGCACACAAGATACTACGCTCGCTTGAATGTTGTATAGTTCGGGGGTGTTGCACGAATAAACAGCGCAAAAAAAAAAAAAGTAGACGAGCGAAGAATGCACAAAACATATTAAACGCAATCTTTCAGCTAAAGAAAAATTCATAGAATGATGTGATCGTGACTCGTGAGAATCTACGTATTGGCAAGTTGGCTCAAGGCGAACACAACATTCAAAATGCCGGAACACACATAATTTGGAGAATGCAGTGAATGGATAGATGCTACCCGTTCAGTGACATCTTAATCCCCAGGAAACTGCAAAAAGTAACGACAAAGGTGAAGTCGTTACATACAAGGTTACTCCTGGAAAAGTAATAGAACTACAGTTGTTAAAAGTTACATTTGGAAAAAAAGGGTACGCGTTACCGTTAGAGGTTATCAAAAAGTTACGAAGTTACAGTAACCCGTGACTCGCAAAGCACCCAGGACTGCATGCTATTATGCAGATTTATGAACGACAAGCCTTTCTCGCGAAAGGCCGAGCGAAACGTCGCGTGGTGCCTGGAACGCGTCTCCGACTGGTCTGTTTACTGCGTCCCAAAAACTGGTCCCTCGGTTTCCGCCTGATGACGTCATAGAAGTGTCACGCTGTCGCCGGTCGCGATCCTGGCGGTGTCCCAACAGCGGAGGTGTATGTGGCAGACGCCTGTTCTGCTGCAGGTCGCTCTCCTCTTCGACAGTCCACGGAAGCTAGAGCAGCCGGAGGTCGGGACGCCTGGAACGCTGTGACGACAGCGACACTCGCGTTCGCTCGTGCTTTTCGCCAGCATCTACGGCCAACCACCAGGATCGCGACAGGCAACAGCAGGACGCTTCGGCTTCTGTGACGTCATATGTCGCCACTTGAGGACCACTTTTGATGTATGGGCGGGATAGGACGCTAAACACACCAGTCGGAGACGCGCTTCATGCTCTATAGTACAGGGACGCGTGAAAATTTGTCCCGCTATCATCGTGCGACCACATCGCGGTCAAGTGCACCGCAGAGGTTTTTGCTTCTCTTTCGATAGTCACTGGCGGATTGAAAAACGCAGGGCGCGTCAATCGTACTATTCGGGCGTCTTGCTTCATAATGTCTTGTCCGGCGTTCTTATCGTCTGCAGTCTGATTGGCTGCGGAGTGAATGAGATGCTCGCCACGCCCTGCGCAGCTCTCGGTGAGTAAGGCAGGCACTCGGTCAGAGTGAATTCCTTCGGAATGGTTAAAAGCCCGAAAATAAAACGGGGAAAACACCCCTCGAGTTCTCTATTTGAGAAGGTATTCGAGCTTCCGCGTTGTTTTATGGCGCTGGACGCATAAATGGAAAACTGCCTCCCAAATACGCTTTTGTACAGCAGATGGACACATTTTTGCGTTGTAATGTCTACCGAGGAGGCCGCCTGCCCCGCCTAGGAGTCTTTTTGGTAGCATGTTTGACAGGTAACGACTTCGAGAACGCGTGACAAATCACATTCCGGAGGCATAAAATTGTGTCTTTCACTCGGATGATACTGCTGTGCGCCGTCGATCGCATTCGTAAAACATGAACTGTCACGCAGTCGGCGCTTCGAAGAATGACGGTACTTGTAAAGTCTGGTTTACACATTTACGTTTCAGCGCGAGCGACCGCATTATAACCGTTCGTCAATGTTTACGACGAGATAACACAGTGGCGTCATCTGTAAGGTAGTCCTGGAGAACTTCTTTACCTGCGTGTAACCAGATTGAAGGTTGAGGAGTATCATGCGAGATTAACTCTATGTACTATCCACGAGAGACGGTCGGCCGCGTTTTCGGTATATGCCGATAAACGCCGAAAATTAACCCCCGAACTTGTTTCATTGAAATTCGGGAAAGCCTAAAAACTCCAAAATTAGAATTGTCCTCAAACAAAAAAAAAAAAAATAATAATATAATTTTTTTTTTTGTTACTTTTTTTTTTTTTTTTCAGAACAGAGTTTTTATTGACCTGTCCGCGAGGTTGCTTCTTTCTTCGGAACCACATCCTTCATCTCTATTTAAAGCGACAGCTTTACGGGCAACACTTTGCAGAGATTTCGAGGCCGTCGGCTGTCGTCGCCTCTATGAAAAAACGCTTCTTCTCTCCCCTATTGACACGAAACCAAGGAAGTCGGGACTCGGGCCTTCCCGTCGACCGCGCCACGTGAAGAGGGAAAAGACGGGAGCACCGGCGTCCGGCCAGTAACGGCTCGACGAAGCAGACGACTTCCTGTCGTCTGCTTCGAACGCTTTTTTTTTTTTTTTTCCACACATGACTCGGGTTATACGAAATCCCACTTTGACGGTATCTACTCTCTGCGCGTAATTTTGGATGGTTTAGAAACTCCCGCCGCGCTCACCTCATGGATCAGCGAGCGCTCGTGGCGGTCGTCAGTGGCATCCACGACGCCAACCACGACGGCGATGAGAATTAGCTACGTCGAACCTCCGTGCTCAGGTATACCGTTTGGCCTGCCTTGCGCGACCGTGCTATAGCTACCGCTTTTACTTAACGGTACCAAGACATTCGCCAAGTGTTCGGGAAGCGCGCTATGTCCCCTCTAGTACAGAACATCTAATTCCCGTGTCCCGTTTTCTTGATCCCCGATAAACGCCGATTTTGTTTTGTCCGACACCAAACATTAACATAAAATACACTGAATCTGTGTGTGTGTGTGTGTGGGGGGGGGGGGGGGGGGAGGGGAGGGGGAAACCCGAAAACACGAAACCCTATTTTATAACCTGTCTTGGGTTGTAATGAGTTACAACTTAGAAGTAACGCGTTACTGTAACTTTGTTACTTATTGAGTAACTTTGACTGCAATGCGTTACTTTTTCGACGTGTGACTTGTAACTGTAGTCGTATTACTTTTTTGTAAGTAGCTATAAAAGTAATGACGTTCCTATTGTCGTTACCAAGCCATGGGTCTAAAATTGTAACTGTAACTGTAGTTACGTTACTTTCTCTGAGGTAACGGTGAAAGTATCGACGCCCTCTTTGTCGTTATTAAGCCATGGGCTTGAAATTCTTAGACTGATTTAAGCCATACCGTTGTCAGAATTATTTCAAGCCCATAGGGAAACAAGTATGCGTAGAAAAATATACGCAGATCAGAAGAGCTTTAGCCGATGGAGATGCCAGTGTCTTCTCTCGTCGTAAGCTGTGACAAGCGGTTGCGACGCAGTCGGTGTTACTTAGTCATAAGTGTGGAGTCATCCTTAAAAAGCCGAAGTGCGCCTTTTAACACAGAGTGTCTTTAGGGGCCGGTGTTTCAGAGGAAAATGTGAGAAAACGCCACGAAACACGTTACCAAACGCACTTCAGGGGAAAACCTGCACAAAAGAGTGGTACTTAGCGAAGAAAGAACGCAATTCTAAATACACGCCAACAAAAATCGAACCCGCGACCCCATGACTGTGAGCTCGATATTCTACCTTGCGCCAAGGGGGAGACTGTCAAAGAAATAAAAACTGGTCTACGCCAGAAGCGGGAAGTGTAAACTATACTTAGCCATCACGAGGGAAGGATCGGAATGAACGGGAAGAAACAAGAAATCTGATGTGCGCACCGTAGCATTAAAAGGGCGGAATATGGAATAAAATAACGCGTTATGTAACAGACAATACTGCAATGTCCACCACCGGGTGCAGTTTGCAATGTCCAACGCCGCCGAAGAACGCCTCGGAGGGGCATTCTCTGTATACCCTTTATCTGCAGCACAAAGCTAGATATTTTATCCTCGTCCCACTTACGTGGAGGAAGTGTCCCAGGACGGGCTTCTGCTCCATGGCCACCTGGTAGTCGACACCGTGCAGCTGGTAGTCCACGTCCAGACCCCGGGGCTTGGTGGGTGCCACGGCCTTGCTCACGTGCTGCACCAGCTCCGCTAGCTGGTCCTGCGTGGGCACCTGGACCACGTGGTCTAGCCCTCGGAGTTCCACCATGGGCACCAGGTGCGGATTGTGCTCCCGGAGCACGTTCAGGGCAGTCAGGTTCTCTGCGAGGAGGCAACACGGAGTAGAGCATCCGCGGTTCGAGGCTGTCTAAACAGGACACAGCAGGTGACGTGCGCGGCTTTTGCTGTACCCGAAGTGGAGGTCTTCCTCCGTTCCGGTCCACCCCGAAACGTTTTTTTTTTTTTTTTCTTGTTTTTTTTTTGTTTTTTTCATATTGTTTTGAGGTGGAAAAGCTACTTTCCGCTTGCGTCCTTGAACAGAGACTTGGACCGTGGTCATTGCGTCGGTTCGGATAGGGTGCCTCCATGTCGCACATGAAGGCTCCCTAGGTTTGGACAGTCACACTCTCACGCTCTGCTGACAAGGAGGCAAGGAGGAAAGCCGTGCTGTTGTCCTCACCGAAGACGTACGCGCGAGCCGAAACTTTCACGCTTTGAAAAGCGCGCGCACCTTTTTTTTTTTCCCGTACACGGGATTTGTTGTGTCCTGTTTGGACAAGTTTTCATTCGGCATCCTCAATGTGCCGACCCTTACTCTGGTGTAAATCTTCTAGACGACAATGCCATTGTGCCGGAGTTGCATCGTCATCTGCCAGAGGCCATCGCGCAGATTAGAGACAAGTGCTGAGTCAACGTTTGCCTGGGACACGTGTTCGATCAGTGAGGGCTCGAATCCCAGCCGAGCGACAATGTAACGCTAGTGTCCTATTTGTGCCCCACGCGAATTTCCGGTCGGTGACGATGAAAATCCAGTACTACCGCCTTGCCATCTAAGCATGTGTGTACCAAATTTTACTCAAACGGATCCGAGCTATTATGACCGATCATGTATGTCACGTGACAAGACAGATAAAGCAACGTCGGACGCGGGTAGGTTTTCGAACGCCAAGGTTTAGAACCTTTACCCTAGACTGAGGTTGAGTCAATTTTGGAACACGCCCTAAGTGTTGCCTGCTGTCACTCGTGAACAATTAGGTCCTACCGCTTGCACATAAAATTTCTTTTGGAAAAGCTCACCAGAGAATAGATCGACGGAAATATTCTGACCATATAAAATCTCGCTCCTTTTCTTATAAGCTCTCACAAAAGGACACCCGGACAGAAGTTACCAGGCAAAAACTCACGTGACATCAGCTCACCAGATAAAAAAAAAGCCTTTTCTCGAGAGGCTGGATGAAAGGTCACTTGGCAAAAACTCCCAAGATAAAATCTCATCCCTTTACTCATAAGGCCGGGCAAAAGGTCACTTGGTTAAATAATCACCAGGCGGGAGTTCGCCGGACAAAACCTTACCAAATAAAAACTCACGCCATTTTCTCATGAGTCCGGACAAAGGGTCGCTAGGCAAAAAGCTCACCGGATAAAACTCGTGCCTTTTCTCATGAGCTCGGACAATATCTTGCCTATACGAATAGTCACCAGGCAAAAACTTACCGGACAGCAACTGCAACGGCTTGCAACTGTAGCGGCTCGTGGCGTACAGGTTGCTATGGCAACATCTGCGTCGGCTCCAACAAAACCGGTTCTTACCTCGTTTTGTTGGATCCGACGCAACAGTTGCCATGGCAACCCGTACGTCGCAAGCCGCTGCAGTCGCACTCGGTCATACTCACGTACTCACGTAACTGTGTGAACCGACCTTAAAAGCCAGTTCACAAACTTGTGTCTGACTACAACCGACTGCGTCTGATTTGAAACCTCTAGTGACTGCTTATTACCGGCTGTGCAGATCCAAGCCCCCAAGCGATAAATATGGGACCTTTTGACTCGATCATTTCTTTTTTCTTCCCCTGAATCTATTAATTTTCTGAAACAGACATCGGGATTAATCAAAAACATACCCACCATTTGCACCCGCTACTCCGAGGAATGGAAAGTGTTTCCGTTTCGCACGAACTACAGTTACCAGTCTTTAAAACATAATCTACCCTCATTGCTAAACAAATATTGCGTAGATGACGTGGACATCTACAATATAAACCCTAAGTCATTGTACTTACTTTTTGTATAGAGCTGTTTTCGTTAACCTGTGAAACCTAGGTCTCTTTTATATATGTATTTTACGTATTGCTGTAATCTCTGCAGTTATTTTTGTATCGCCATAGCTGTCTGCCAAGTGCACGGGGCCCGGACCCCGTCAAGTCAACATTTGTTGACTTTTTGTCCGTGGCTCCGGCGTCTGTAACCCATACGGATGCAAAAATAAAAATTATTATTATTATTATTATTATTATTATAATAATCTCAAACGCAGGCTCTTGTGCAAAGAGCTTGTGCAGAGAGAGGCTGCGCATAAAACAAGATTTTTTTTCTTTTTACGGCACTCTTAATATCGGCGTTGTTGTTGGAGCTTCGTGACTATGCATTTCTGACGTTCTTGTACTATAATATGTGCAAAAGTTCCTAAAAAAAAGAAAAAAAAAAACGAAGTCTCGGAAAAAGCGCAGCCCTCTACCGCGTTATGGCGTCAGCATAAAGAAATGTGGCGGCGCCCATGGAACAGAGCAGTCACTGCTCTATAGGCGTCGATGATATTCAAATATAATGCACGATTACCTTCTAGCGAAAACAGATTTTGCTAGCGTTTCCGGCGTTGTGTCACTACTATTAGAGCCACTAAATATAAGCTACGCTTAGAGTACCGACATTCCATTACCCGACTGGATTGCCTGATGGGTTTCTCCATTTTGTTGGCTATTGTGCAGAGCGGGCGCAAGTGGCGATAGGTATACAGTTCGAAAATCCGACTTCCTGAACGTTAGATACCGTGACCGGAAGGTCGGGCGATATCGTTTTGCTCTGTCAATGCCAGGAAAGGCTTCAAGTTACTTTAAACCATGATTTTAAGCAACAAAATGGCTGATGAAATAATTAATACGGAAAAAAGAAAACCGAAGTTCTTTTACTTTTTTGGTGCACGAGCGAGAAAAAGGACGGGGTGTATACCGTGAACGAAGGGCCCCAAGGACAGGTCTCCCTGGACCTCGAGCGTTCCGTAGACAAGGTGGGTGCACAGACAAGGGTCCAGGTGGGACAGGTCGAAGTGCGGATCTCCGGGCTTCACGTAGCACACCACGCTCCGAGACGGCAGCTGGCTCTTGTCGCACGTGACGGCTCCTGGGTTAGGGAGGTCATGTCAGCTGAACAGGCTATGGGTTGTAACGCGGAATACACGAGGTCAGGAAAACGAATACGGAGCAACGCAAGACGGACATACGCGTATTCTTCGACTATAGCCAGCTTAAGAAATGGAGGCCGTGGCGGTTCCCCGTGCGCATCTCATCATCGCTTCTCAGCCAATGAGATTTCTTCATTAGTCGATAAGAACACCGAAAGGGCCAATCATCAGGCAGGAACCTCCCCAGATTCGCCCAGCGTTTCCCAAGCTGTCGGTGACCGAATAGCAACTACGTTTAGTGATGTCCACAACGCTTCCGCAGTTGTACCCGGTCTAGAAGAAGTGAAAAAAAAAAAAAGATAAGCAAAGGAGAATAAAAGGAAGATGAGGCAGAAAGAGGCCACAAAAATGTATAAATTAAAAAAGGAACGAAGCATTAAGATTGAAAGAAAGAAATGGTATAGGTAGGTTAAGATATTAACATAATTAGGAAGAACCCCGAAACTTTGGTAAGTGAAGGACAGCACAACCGCGCAGGTTTGCGTCGTGGACGTTGCGCCCAGTATTTAAAATAAATCTCGGGCCGTCAATATTCCTCTATTTTCTTTTTTTCGCATAAAGATCATTTCTTGACACTCGTGTCCCTACCAGACTGTTTAAAAAAAACTTTTCAGTGTTTTTTAAGATATATTGAAAGAAAAAAACAGCACATAAACTGAGTTATATTTTACTCTACTGGGTGTCGTAAAAATCGCATAAATAATCCAATGAACGGAGTGCCATGAAGTTTTTTTCAGAAAGTTTCCTTTAGGTGGTGCATTTACCGTACTGAAATTTCGCGAGTATAGGTTTTTTGGAAAGAGTTCGAGGGGGGAAAGAAAAACCTGTTTTCTTTTTCCTCTACGCGGGAGAAAAACAAAAACAAACTGTCGGGTTGACGCTGCTGCTCGTTTATGGTACCACACACGCTCGGATTTTGGGAATCTCTAAGTACATTCTACTTAAAGTACTACTTCAGGTAGGTTTAGGAAACTTGCACTTTACTTGAAGTACATTCTCTGAGTATGTACTTGTACTTTACTTAAAGTTTTTTTTCTTTTTTTTGTGGTACTTTTCGAGGAAAGTACAATTCCCGATTTCAAAGTACGTTCTCCAAATTTGGTTTTGTTAAATTTGTATCACGAAATGATGCTTCTTCAACTCCGAAGAAATACTGGGAGGGATATTCTACTCTCACCAGAGACGTGAGCAGACGACGCATCGCACCGTTTGTTCTGGAGGCGGCTTTCCCGTAGGTTTTTGGGCTCTCGCTACTTCTCGGTTGGTCAGCGCAAGCGAGGAGGTTCAAAATATTAGGCGAGCAAAATTATTCGTAATGTAGCACCTGAGGCTGCGGTGCGGAAAAATGAAGCTTTGAAGTCGAAGAAAAAGACAACAGAGTATAACGTCAGAATGTTTTGAGGCATTCTCTTTTGTATTTTCCTTCGACTTGAAAGTTTCTTTATTTTTTCGCGCCCCAATCACAAGTGTCACATTATGATTAATTATCATCAGCTCGCTTGCACACACTGTATTTTTATTTTTCGTTAAGGAGAGGACATTCCTCTATGAGAGGATTGCTTGCGGAAGCTACGGGGCTGACGTCATTCTCTCTAAATTTAATTCCTTGGGTCCAACAATCCAGCGCAAGCGGCGCCAAATTCAGAAGAGGGACTTCTGAATTTGTCTCCACTCCCGAAAATAACTACTCTATGTCCACTTGACTTTACCAAGTATACGCCGCTGTTTTGGAAAATAGATTATGCACCCTTGATTACCCCTGGGCAATGCATGCCAGTTAAACAATCACTGTATAGGGGAATAAAAGGGAATCATGAAAGATTTTGTAAAACTACTTGTACTTTACTTTGAAAGGACATTGTATCTATAGTACTTTACTTCAAGTACATTGCGCCGAGTGTACTTACTACTTTACTTGAAGTACATCACGTCTCATTTACTTTGTACTTGAAGTACCTTTTAGATGCACTTTACCCAACACTGAGCTATATAATAGTGATTCTTTACCACTAAATGTATTTTTCAACATGGCAGATTGATTGATCGATTCGTCCGATCACTGATGACATTGCGGAAGAAAGAGTTACGGTAAGTGTAAAGTACTGCTCAATTATCTACGTTACTTTGCTGTGGTCTCCGCTTTACTATAACAAAATTAGCTTGATTTTTTTAGTCTGTTAGAAAGAAAAAAAAAAACTTCATACGATTTTTCTTTCCAGTTCTTCCTTGAAATTTCAGTAGGACATTACATTTCTAGTTTTTGTTTGTTTCTTTCGCGTTTTGGCCCTGTGGGAATAAGGCGTTATGTAGCGGACGAATGTAATGTAAGGTAGAAATCAAGCGCAACGCTCCGCTTTTCTCAGAAGAGCGCTTCTTTTTGTTCGTGTTCAGTTTTACATAAACCTTTCTTGCTTGATGATTATTTGATTTGTATACAAAACAAATGTACACAGACAGCATCAAGCGATAGACAAACGGGAAGTAAAAATAATTATTTTTCCTATTATTTTTGTGGGAAAGGTTTCCTTTAAATCGGCATAGTAAAAAGCTGGTCTGATTTAGATCAGAATTTAAATCATGATTTAAATCGTATAGATTTTTATTCTCCACCCTGATAGTAAGAGTTGCTTTGGTGCTTCAAATAAAGATTCTAAAATCAGAGGCCTAAGCAGAAGAAGAAGAAGAAAAAAAGGTGACACTCACCGTCATGTCCACTGTGGTAATCTGTCGGAGTGAGCGAGACCTCAGGACAGGAAAGCAGCACCACCAGGAGCACTGCGGCGGCGATGGCGTCGGTGGCCGCCATCTTGTGTTCGACTAACCGCCTGCAAGAATGAGATTTTTTTTTTCATTCCATGTTTTACCTATATAAACTACTGGTTCCTGTTCAGGACCGGTGCAGAAAGAGTCACATAAAAACACACACAACACACAACAATACGGGATCCAGAAGAAGCAAACCATAGAGCTCTAGAAACAAAACACTCAAACAGAAAGTCACTTTTCACTGAACGTCTAAATCCGTTTTAGAATGCTCAGCAATGAAAATTTTTATACCGTCTAGAGTATTTGATTTCTCAATGAGGCGATTAAAGAACGGAAGAACGTGCACCGTGTATTAGAGCGCGCATAACAATATATAGCAGGTCTCCATGACGTATTCACGTCTAGAGCCACTAAATTGGCTACGCTTTAGAGACGACGCTGTGTACGGCCGATTGTCTGGATTCGTTCTGCACTTTGTTTTTGGGCAGAGGCATTCATTGCGTTGAATCGAAATGCTTAAGCCCCTCCGGCATGTCAATACTCGCGCTCCTTATTTTGAGGAAGGTCGAGATAGTGTCTGTTTTTGAGATAAAACTAACCCTACAGTCGATAGAAAATGTACTAGATGAAGTAACACAATAATAATAAGTAAAACAATGCCCGATGCATGACCGAATCAACTGCGTGCCGAACTGCTCACTGCGACTGGCATAAGGAAAGAAAACGCGATATCTCGTGATGGATTGAATGAGTTACGGGACACATAGAAACGGGGCCGTTCAAGGTTTTCCACCCTGTCGACGATACCCCTGAAACAATGGCTCAATTTAGAGAAAAAGTTAAAGGCGGTACTCCGCTGAGAAGCCATCAGACGTTTTATGTGGTATGGTCTGGCAGTGATAACGTGGTCGAGGTTGGGAATCGCGCTGTGTTTGCTTGCTATTGCAGTAAAGCGTCCATTGTTGCCCCGAGGTAGTAATCCAGAAATGGGCCAAGTCCATCGCTTTGAAAATGTTTCGATTGTTCTCGGTAATATAAAGGAGCCACGAAGAAACCTGATACATTGTGTGCATTATTGAGTGCCGTTATTGTACTAACATGAACCCTTGATATTGTCAAAAAGAAATCGTGAGTTTCTGTTTGTTTTCACGCAAGGCATAAGCGAGTTGTCATCTGGGCTTGTTGTAGACCATCACTTTGTCAATAACTTACTAGACGCACTTACTATGTAGTAATTGCGAGATTTACGGACTAACCAATATTTTTGTTGCTAATTTAATTATTCGAACATTCTACGATCGTATATGTACCATTGCCTTAGTTCCTTTTCCACCGAATGTTATTACTCCTCGGGTCTGTGGGCTGACTTCAACTATTAAACTTATCAGTGAACCCACACAAATCCCAGCTGACCCTGTTTTGACCGGTGCATACGGCCTGGCCTCATTCGTTTCTCATACACCAAAGTTTCAATGATCACTGCTTATTACACATGTCTTTAGCCGCTTCCAAAGCACAATTCCTCGAAAGTTAGTAAATGCTTTATTAATTCTAGTTAAGCAAACTTCGATGCTATTAATAAACGCTTAGTTACTTTCCTTAAAATGACTTTGCGACTACTGCCTTTTTGCACAACGTTGAAAAGAACCGGATCATAGTTAAGGACTAAGTGGTCTTGCTAATAAATTAATTTCACTTGTATCTACTATAACGTAACATAATCATTAACACTAAATTAATTTAATGTTCAAAACATTTTTAAAATAATAAAAATATGTTGCTTTGCGCTGCAGCCATCACCATACAGTACTCATCACTCGGAAGATTTCCAAAACGCAAATGAACCTTATGCATTTGCTCGCTGTGATGCCAAACTAAGCGAAGATATCTAGCCATACGTTAGGACAATAAAGGCGCCTTATCCCAAAGAATATTGTAAGTTACGAAAATTCTTCAAAAATCTCTCTCAGTGTGGACAGCATTGCAGTACACAGTGAGATATGTGCACAAAATTTGAAGATGTTTCTGTGAAACATTTTTTGTTATGGTGTAGTTAAACATTTATCTTGCTAACGTTCTGGGTGTGACTTCTTTCTCGTGGAATGTATATTGTTTAAACTAATTAGACAACATTTACTCTAATTATCTGCGCGTATTGTTAAAATTAATTCTTGTTTTTTTTTATTTTTTAATATGGGTTTAGATGAGAAAGTTAGCGAAGGCGGGTCACTCGGCCTCTACCACTTGATTTCGAAGATCACAAAACGGTACTGCTAGATTTTTTATGTCATCCACCGAAGGCCGCTTCGCGACGTCTCTTGAGGAGCTTCAGCGTATTTGTCTCTTGGGACGGGTCAAGGAACCACTAACGGTGACGTCGTGCGCGGGCCTTGTCTTCTCGGTGGTATCGGTCGTGTCCTCGCCGGCCCAACACGAGCTCCCACCCGAACGCTGTCGCAGCACTCGCGCCCAATCAGCGTTGCGTTAGCGGCCTCCTCTGGGTGACGTAGGACCTCCAGCAGCGCGACCTCGCTCCCTGAGAGGTGTTGCCCGACCGCGCTGGGCTTGCACGCGAGAAATTGGACGATGCGCCCCAAGGCTGCGCGCCAGCGCCAGAGACGGGTCTGCCAAGAGGAGAAACCGTTCGGTTGGCCCCGACTGGGTGTTGCTTCGAGGACGCTTCGCCCAAGGAAACCAGATCGAATCGACGCCGCCGATCGGGAAACTGCCTGCGAGGGGGGAATGCAGGACGCGTCGGCTTTCTAAATTATTTCCGAAAAAAAAAAGAAAAAAAGAAAAAGCGCATTATGCGGGACTAGTGGTTGCTGAACATCTTGAGCTATGGACACGTCCATTCGATGATGGCCACTAAAAGCGGAGTAAATTGTTCTGGATTCGATAAAGCAAAGCACGCAAAGATTACGGTGGGGGGTTGAACTAAATTAAGCAATCGTGAAAACAAAAGAAGGGTATCTTAAAGAGGCCGTGCCACGATATTCGGTAGGAATGTTTCTCGCTTTACACAACTATACTGGGTCTTATAATGTCCCCCATTCCTGGGCAAGTAACGCCAAGCTCCCCGTAACATCGCCATTTCGGTTCATGTAATGAGCATGTTTCTCCTTGATCTCTCCATTCTTGGTGAGCCGATCTCAATTCGCTGGTGACGGTAGCTTTATGGAGACGTTTCTTGTATACCCAGGTTTCGCTATCCACACACCGGCGAAACAACCGTACATATTTCCTACTACCACCACGTGCTGTGTGGGTGCTTGGAGGCACAGAAAAAGAAGTTTACTGATTTGAAATACGCAAGAAGAACAATATAATTGTAGAGATCCGTGGAGGTGGGCATGATTGATAAGTTGATTGCATACACAGTGCCAAAGACGCTTATATTGGCGAGGAACGCTTCCAGTACGATGATTCTCCATGGTTATCTTGGCGCGGCTGGTTTAGAACAATTCTCTGGAAACTTCGAAGATTTGAATGGGCCGAAATGGCGGTTGCCATGGCAACGTAGACAGATTAGTCAATCGCCTTGCGAGGTTTTCATTGTCTCTATGTTAGCATCCGTTTGTGCCCTGCTAGTAAGTAGGGAAGGCAATGGCGCTATTTTCCCAGGATCCAGTGACTTTAGTCAACCCCATCGCCGGGCTCCGATAAACATTGGCGGCCTATAATCGGCTCCAGGTCACGTTGGCGCTTGTTCTGGTTGCTAATTGAGGGGACGAACGCTGCTCGCCTTTCTCGAATTTTGCCCCCGACTGCCACTGCGTGGAGAGACAACGTAATGCATGTTTCTTAGCTTATGAACGTCAAGAAACCATTCTATGCGGTACTCGCTAAAATTACGCGGATCGTTGCATCGCCCCTCCCATGGTCTGAAGAGGAAGGGGAGTTCAACGTCGAAGAACCGGAGCGATCGAGCGTGTGGCTTCGTCCACGCGCATTTCGTTGAAAAGGTTGGCTCAAAGACGGCTCGCCTTGTTATTGTGCACTGGCTCGGAGAAAAGACACGCCAACGTAAAAGAATCCCCGCTGCGTTGACTGGCTCAGCGACGCACTTGACTCGGATCGATCTTGTTGGCGCGTTGGTTGGTGCTGTCCTCCCGAGGTCTTCGGACATCCTTGAACTATGGCGGATTCTGAGAACCGTTTTTTTGTTTTTTTGTTTTCCGGAAGAGGCGAGTTTTATTTTTCTATTCGAACTAGATTGACTTAAAGTCAGGTCATAGCCTCCTGCATACTAACAAAGCCTGGCAGATCGCCACGAGAAGCGGCCGCCGAAGTGGAGCGGCAGACAACGGATGAGAGGAGAGCCACGTTACTGGCACCCCGCTGCGGCGAGACGCCGAAACACACTTCTCCCGAGCGAACAAGTGTGTTTCGGGTTCTCGCCGCTGCAAAAGCTGTGGGCTGACGTCCAGGTTCCCCGAGAAATGGCTCTTTTGATGCTCTGTGCTGGCCTCGACGCCAATTTAGTTTCCCAGCTGAATTTAGCGGGAAAAATGACATCACACGACTTCGGTATCACGTGACCTACACGCCAATTCAGTTTCCCCGCTATATTTAGCGTGGAAATTGACATCACGTGATCTGGTGTCACGTGATGCTAGAACGTTTCATATATACAACACAGTTGCTAGCAATTTACCGTACGTTTATTTATTTATTTATTTTTTTTCAGTTCCAGAGTTTCAGAGCTCGACGTTATTCGATGCAAACCTTATACGCGAACTGTCTTTTAAGGATCCCGTTGGTATTGCATAGAATGTTTTTACGAGAGTTACACATAAAAGACAAAGCAGAGACAGCAGATCTTCCGTAATCTGTCTTTTTTGTGCGTGTGTTTGTGTGTGTGTGTTTTTGTGCTGTCCGTGTTTTGTTTTTTATGCGTAAATCTTTCGTGAAAATATTATGCGCGATTTTCGGAAATCTTTGATGAGAAAATGATGGCCGGCGAAGTCCACGAATACAGCAACATAAATGACGTCGGTCACTGCAATTGGGCCACATCTTTCTGTTGAAAGTTCGAAA